CTCTCTCTCTCTCTCTCTCTCTCTCTCTCTCTCTCTCTCTCTCTCTCTCTCTCTCTCTCTCTCTCTCTCTCTCTCTCTCTCTCTCTCTCTCTCTCTCTCTCTCTCTCTCTCTCTCTCTCTCTCTCTCTCTCTCTCTCTCTCTTCTCTCTTTCTCTTTTACTCTCTTGTTCCCTCTCTATCTCTCTCTATCTCTCTCTTTCTCTTTCTCTTGTTTGATACCGCAACCAAGAAATGTAGTATAAACCGGAGTATCAGTATTAATTGAGTTCGTCTCTACCATCGGTGTGCGCAACGTTCCCTACTTTGCTCAACCTCAAGACGAATCGATGAAACGTGGGAATTTCGGAGCAAGGGAGATGACGAAGAAATATAGGGGAACAGATAACCGAATACCATACGAGACAACTTATGCCAGCTTATTGCATTATTTGGAACTCAATTCGTTATTAGAGCGAAAATGTGTTTACGTTGTGCGAAGCACATCTATATATATATATATATTATATATATATCGTAGTGCGAAACAATATTGATATAATCAAATAAGAAACGTCGTCCGCTGTTTTGGATAATAATGCGTACGACCGTGAAAGTTATTGTTCGCGAGGCTTCATTTACTTTTCAAAGTGCTCGCCCATTATATTAGGTATTATATTAGAAGGAGGTTGCCGCGCGCGGCAATCTTGATTTTGGTCTTCGAACGTAATATCCGGCAGTGCTTGTAGACGACGCGAGGAAGTAAAACTAATTTCGTAAATCCTTTAATCTACGCGTTTGGTGGAAAGCCGAGGCGAGATTAAGGGAAGCGAACTGAATGGGCGAGCTCCCGGGTGTTTGATGGAATATGATGAACGAGGTACGTAAAACTTGGTTATTGGTATACCGGATCAAATAGAGGAAAAAAAAACTTACTTTAGTCTGACGCGCCACAATTAAAGCAGTTACGAAAGTCACGCCACGCAATCGGACTTAATAACAGAATAGTTGATAACGTTCCTTGTCATTTGCACGTTGCATTCATCGATGCGTAAAATCTGTCCTGGAAGTCTCGCGATCCTTGTTAAAATACGCAACTTCTCATTAAGTTTACAGATTTTTCTCGTTAATGTTCTTTTAAATTGAAACTCAGGATAACAGGAAACAATCAAATTGAATGCAAATCTTCAAGAAATGGTTTGTTACATCAATTCGCAGTGTTTAACGAGTGTTTAACGAAATATTGAGTGAGAGGGGGTGGAGGAAGAGGGAGAAGGTGAGGGGGGGAGAGGCTGCTTTTACGTAACGAAATCAATTATTATTTTATTAAAAATTTTGTGCATTGTTCGATGCTATATTCATCTTTAATCAGTGTTAATGCAATATTTTTAGTTATTGTTACTATAAAATGGAAATCTATAATCTATATTATTCCTGTTATAAAATTAATTATTTGATTTACATTTCATGTTAATTTATAAATGACGTTAAGCGTTAAATAAATATACTTTCTGCAATTTAATAAAACAAGTTATGAGGCGTATCGATGCATTAAAATCGTATCTCTCGCGATGAAAAATTATGTTGGATGGATATCATAATGTTACACTGCCATTGCAAACAGGATTTGTCCATGCAAACAGGATCAATCATTGATCAGAAGTAGATATCGATATAAAATCAACAACGGAAATGATGGTCGGCGAAATCACGTTTTCGGCATAGATTCGAACGATTGCAAATATACACGTATACCATTCCGTTGGATGTAACAAACATAGAACTATGGCAGATTTATAACACGTATGAAATATAAATGCAACGTGTATCAATGTAACGAGCCTGTTTTCTTGTCAGTTTATTCGTTAGCACGTGTTTTGTTTTACATAGAACGGAAATGTAAAATTAACAAAGCACGACGCAGAGATAAATAAAAGACGGAGATAATATACAGAGATGATTAAATGCTTGCTTGTCATGGAAGAATTAAGTTTAAATATTAGACTTTCACTTACTGCCGTATTGTTGTGCCAAAATGGAGGCAAAGACTTGACCGGGACTACGCGCGCCTCTTGTAACAGACGAGCTCGACACGGGCCCTACCGCGTGACGTGCGTTATCTTCATCGTCGCTGCTGGATTGGGCACTAGCTCCATAACCGCGCCGTTCTCTCCATTCCAGGGACCGCTGACGGCGCAGCCCACGGCCCCCATTTGCATGACCGCGGCCTAACGTGCCCTCGCTGTCCATCACTGCAGCATCTGCGACAAGTTAATGACAATTTATGCGACAATGATCGCGAAAGAAAATAATGAAAACAAAATAGCTACATAAAAGTATTAAAATTAAAATTAAACATTTCTATAGATTCTATTGCATAAAAAATTTTTTTACGATTTGTGATAGGTTTTTGATAGATAATAATTAAATTCTCTATTGATTTCCGAAGTAGCGGTTGGAAATGTAATAAAAGTGTACCAAATCCGAAAGTTCTTCCGCCTTTCTGCGCGTCAGAGAATCTTAAGATTTATATGAGAATGTCAAATGGTGAATCAAATGCAACACGAAAACTATTGTATGGAATAACAATGATGCCGTTACGTGGAATACCGATAGTATGTCAACGTCGAACAACAGTAACTCATTAGGCATTCACGGCCGTTGCTCGGAATCATTCAGGGCCGAATGAAATCGAATTGCATACTGGACATTTGCTGATATTCAATGCAGATAATTCTAGTTTGGACGCTGACAGACTTGTTTGCGTTTGAACCATGAGGCGCGTTAATATGTTCTGTCAGTTCTAATATATAAAGGAAATAATGGATGTTTTTTTTCGATTTCGATAAAATTTCTAGAAACAAAACATAAGAAAATAATTTTTTATTTATCTGATAAGCGCAAATATAGAAGAGATATTTTATATGAATAGACATTTTATTATGTTCTTCAATTGAATTTTTTATTTCATGATAAAACTAATAAGGATTTATTATTAATACCGATAAGTATTTTTTATCTATTAAATGAAAGTTGAGCTCTAGACGTTCGCAGAATTTTCTTGTTGGTCCTCCTTCGAATAGAGACCTCTATAGATCGATAAGATCTTGAATGTGTATGGTGGCAGATAATTGAGTGGTGGATGCCTCTCGAAATTCCCATGGAGACGTTCTCGCTCGCCGTTGCTCTCCCTTGATTGCAGGGATCGTTGATTGATACTCGAAGGGAGAACCGAACAGTGATGTCTTAAGATCACTCACTGTTCCTTGGACTATGAAATTTCAGTTTAGGACCGATATCACAAATGGGTTGGCCGTGTTACGTTTTCTCGGCCACATCTTTGAAGAACAGAATTAATCCATTGCTATTATTGGCGCGCAAAGATAATTCATCGATTGTATTTGCACGATTAATAATACGCAATAATTGTGGACTTTCAAACGCGAATGCGAATCTGGCAAAAACAATCTCATAAAGCGATACCGTTTCAATAAAAGAAAATAAATACGGCCATTTACCGATGGCTGTATCCGATAGAATTGGTCAGGGAATTTGCTCGACAAATATTATATGAAAATTGAATGAGATGGAAGTAAATTAAATTCTGTATACACGGCAAACAAAATTGCGCCGGATCAATTTTGTAAAAGTACAACAACAGTTGTGTAATACTTATACGTCAAATTTATAATTTGCATTTGATAAGTACCGTGTTCGCACGCGCTCTGAAAATAATGAGAAGCGAATGAGAAGCTTCATCCCGTTGTAGTTTCAAATCATGGGATCGCTAAACTTAACGATTCACGATCAGCGCGAATTTCCAGAAATTTGCAATTATGAACTTTATTTAGAGAGACATTCTACAGCGTCAGGTCTCGAGCGTTAATAAATCTCGATGCGTCGCAAAACTCACACGAAGAGTAGGCCGTTCTCTGAAAATGCACACCCTTATGCATCGTCAGGCACCTCTCACAACCACTTTTCTCACTTGCCTCAATAGCGACTAACAGGTCGCATCCTCTACACACGAGGGCACTTTACGATGTTTTGTTTTGTCGGCTCTCTTCGTATCCTCCTTCGTTCGCGTAAGTGCGTCGAGCATGTGGGCGACTTGTCAAACTGTAAGTGAATCGGAAACCTTCCGCGGTGCGAGTCGAATTAACGAAGAACCCGCAAGCACAGTCGAGTACCCTTTTCCGAGCAATGCTAGAGAGACGCTAAGAATGATCTCTTGTCAATCTTCGTGATTTCGCATTATTATCTGATATTTTTCATAACCCTGATTCTTAACTGAGCGGCAATGAAGCAATTTCACGCGAAGTGGTACTCTATATCACTTGCATTAATTTGACATTCATATCCGGTAATTCCTTTTATCGGCTCTGAATATGACTTTATTCTCACTTGACAAGTTTTATTTTATTAATTAATGAGTGATGGAAGAACAAGTGCAAGGATAAAAGTTATTCTAAAAATTTTATCGTTTCTATCGTGCATTTATTATATATTAATCTATGTAGCTCTCGAAAATATTCATACATTGTTTAAAGTTTGAGAATTATTAGCTTGCGACATCATTTACTTTAAATTGTTTATTAAATAAATATTTAATTGCCGAGAAACACTTTTAAAATATTTTATAAACTGTTGTTAACGTAAAAGTTTGGATCCATTATTCTCGAAAATCAATTACAGCTATAACATTTTGTAGATAGTTTTCAATAAATCGATGTTTCTAAATTAATTTTGCGCGCATGATTACGGTAAGGTTCGAGACGTGATTTTTTGTATCGCGATAAAAAGGAAAAATTTTAGGAGGAAAAAATGGATAAAGCAGCATGCATTGTACACGTCCATATTGTGTAGTGTACTGCCTATTTTACGATTGAGAACGACATTCGTCGTTTTAATAGAAAATTTTTACAAGGGGTCGTAAACATAAAATAGACCATCCTGTCGTGGGGCACTCTTATTGCTATAACTTATAACACATGGCTGATAATATAATGGGCCTGCACAATAAGTGCTTTGTGAAGAGGGCTGTCAGGGACTTGCTGACTGCGAGTATGACTTTGCTATTATCGCTTCTGCCTTTAACATAAAAGCTTAACGTGATATCTTTGAAAGAAAAAGAAAGTGACACACATTAATCTAATGACCAACTCCAATATCTTGATAATTTAATTCGCGAAAAGGATATGTTATTTCTTCGTGAAAACATAGTTGGCAAAAACAAAATTTATTTATAAAATTAGTACAATTTAACTTGGGAAAGTTTCATATGACGGAGATAATAGTTAAAGCTCGTAAGAAAGAATTAAACGTTACGTAAAAGTCTCGCTCTTATCACGTTTCGCGAGTTATCGTGGTTAATAAGACTGCTGCGAAAATGTTCCGACGGATTCCAAAGAGGCAAAGTTGGTGCCAAAAATTGTAATCTTATTAGGGGACGCGGTGCACCGGGAAAATTCGTTGGCTGCATTCGATGCCAGATATAAGATGAGCATTAGGGTGGAAGTTCTTAATATTGAGGCGCGTCACACGTGTTTATTATTGCCGAGAAATTGTTTCAATTTGTCTTATAATAGGTCAACGTAAATAGCGCGCGCAAAAGTTTTTCGTTGCTTCTCAACGACAATTCCAAGCTGTTCTCATGAAAGTAACGAACGGGTACAATATCAGATTTTATACAGCGTCGCACTTATTGTGCTAAATATTAAACGAAAAATTCATTTTCCGCGGGAGAAATGTAAAATGTTTGTCGGATTTTGCCGCACTCGTGGTGTATCGCGATACTCGTCGCACCGTAAATATAAATCAGTCTGCACGTGTCGTACGTAACCTCTTAGAAAGGGGTTAAAAAGCCACACGTCTATGTATAACCTGTGCGAAAAGTCGCCTCGTAATACCTACACTTGAGAATATAGTAGCACTCCGACTTTCAGACCACGAATGCAGTCTTAGAGAAAGCATACTATAAAAGGCTTTAAGAGTTTCCTCGTGTTCGTGCGAATTGAGTAGGATTTGCATACCACGTCGCGGCGAGAATTTCACGAGAAATGTGGACCGGGTTTTTAAACGGCATCTAATGAAGGTAACAGTTAGACGACATTGTTCAAGTACGTCACGGTGCCATCCACCTTTAAGGAATGTAAGAAGGGCATCTGAATGCATGAAACATAGAGTGGCGGCCTGTGTAGCCAGATATGACTCGAGAAAGACTTTTGCATATTCATCGGGCTCGCACGAAACCCTTGCTCGTCAAGGGGACACAGTCTTAAACATTAGGTACACTCACCCAGCTTCCCACCACCACTACCGACTCGATATCATCGTACCGGATAATTATACAGCTTTAATCTTAATAACGTTTTCGAAGCGCTTGTCGCCGAGCGCTCGTCGTTCGACTTTGGCGATAGAAATTTGAATACGCGTTAATTATAGCATACATAGCTATTTATAATTTAAATAACGCACACCGCATGCGCAGGAACAAATTTACTTTGTGCTCAACGCGTGGATTTCTCGGCGCTTTGCCATACTAATTCATAATGCATAGAATTGCATTATGTACGGTGCACTGAATAGAAGATATTACCGATGTATGTATTTAACGTAACAAACGTTCTTCCCCGGTAAGCAAAGAGACTGTCGATTACTCATCTCTGATTTTCTTGAAATATTCCTGTCTCGCAAATTTTGAATAAGAGAAATTTTCCTGCACGGTGTTTTTCATTTGCATATTTTTAAAATGATTATTTGTTTTTACAAACACGATATTATGAAACATGGAACATTTTTTCATTACGAATGCGTCTCGGGGAAGGTTGAAAAGTACATGAAAATCCTGACACTTTGCCGAAATTGGTCTAAACACGGCCGTCAATCATCCCCGTGGGTCAAATAGATAGCGCGATGAAGAAAATTGCACGGCAGCGGCGGCCTCCGCGGCATTTTGCGGTGCAGAATGTCAATTAAACGGCGTGGCCGATTAACCATAACCGAAACCTCGACAAAGGCTGGAGCGTGCACGGTTTCGCACTCCGGCGGGTTCATCACGCGATAATTTATATGGTAATTCCAGGGACGTAATAAGTCCCCCTCGGCAAACTCCGGCTGCCACTACACACGATCCTCCGGTGCGGCCGCGGCGTCCTGCGTTGACCCCGGCGCGGCGTTCCATCGGGAGAGGATGGCCTGCCATGTACACATCATTACTAAAAGCGGTCATCGATTCATCGGAGTTCGACCACCGGCCGTGCCCACCGACCGATCCGCCGTGGTAGCGTTGTGCGCGTCAGTGCATAGACGAGTTGACGTATATGCATATATATATATATATATATATATATACACACACATGTGTGTATATGCATAGAGTATGCATATATATATATATATATATGTATATATGTATATATATTCTATGCGCCAACGAGAACGTGTAGGCGCGTCCATTGTCAAATTTTCCCACCCGCGATCGACCGTGCGGGATTTAATTAACACCATCTCGTTAACTTTTGTCGCGACCTATCGTGCCCGTCCGGTGTTATCTCTCACGAAGATGAGCTTGCTTGCTCGATCAAGTGGATCGCTTGTATCGGTGAATTAACGACACGTGTTGTTCTTTTTCGTTGCCCAGTATGTTTACGAGATTTTAATGCATCTCAATGAGTTTAAAGTATCGCACTGTATGCATAATTTTTTTGCACATGTATATACACTATTAGTTTATGTGCCATTCGTAGTTTAGATATATTTGTCATAATTATTTTTAACGTTGACAATCACTCATTGGAAATTTGAAAGGAAGTTATCACATTTAAATCAAATAAATTCGTGTTTACAATAGTTCATAAACTGCAGCTTGTATCCTGTTCTACTTTATAACAATTTGTCAATCGAGATGAAATTATTTCTAGATGACTTGATTGATAGGAGAGTTTTAAATATATTTCAAAACCTGCGTGTCGCGCGATTGATGTTGATTCATGGAGACGAGATAGAAGTTATTAAAAGCAGTGATAATCGATGAGGATGGATGGCATTATAACATTACAGTGAAGCGGTTTACTCATAAATTTTGTTTGCCCCGGCAAAATCGAAAAACCGCGAGGCATCGCTAGGGCGTGAATATATTGACACGAATGTAGCTCCAGCATCAGGGCAGTATTTATTTTCCCGGAAATTTTTATCACAGTGAGCGAGCACAAGTATCGAATATCCGTCACGCATATGTAGCACTCTTTTTGCAGACAAATTGTAGGTGTATCACCTTGAAAACTGTGAGAGTTATTTTTGCTCGTTAGTATTAGTTGACATTGCGAATGTTAATCGTTATGTTTATTTTGCGATTCTATCAATATTTTATATATTTTAAATAGATTCCTATTCGTATTAAACACAAACTCTAAAACAACTCAACAATAATAATATTCTAGATGATAATTATTTTATTTTTGACGATGAGGAGTTGTTTTATTAATATTTTTATGCTAAGTCTTAAAAAAATTTTTTATGTTAAAGGAATGAAGATATAATCTTCATTGTAAACAGCGGTGCGCAAAATGAAGAGTAATGCTTGCGTAGCTCTATCGATGAAAAGCGAAAGAGGAAATGCGCTACGAATAAGAGGAAAGCTAACGATTTCCGTTTAATTTACTTCGAAAGAGAGCTTCCACGTGTCATAGACCGAGTGCTATCGAAAGTTCAAAGTAGCAGTCGATAGAAAGCAAACGGGTCCATCGCCGCGCCGTTTATAGACGTCTCGTTCGAGATCAGAAGGAAGGCATCGGGTCTTAACGACCGTTCCGTTCGATTGCAGTGATTACAAAGTCGATTGTTAGTGACTCTTTGAAGCTCAATTATTCTTGATAATGACTCTTCTATTTAATCACAGATATACATATAGAGTAACGTTTTTATGCATTTCACGCGATCTCGAAAGCATATTTTAGAATAGAAACGCGAGAGCAACGGGCGTATTGTATTACAAATGCAATTTCAAGAGGTGGGATCTTGTTTTAAACCAGCTAAAAGCACTATTTATTGTACTGTTTCCAATTACAAAATGATAAAACTTTCACGCGCAAACACATTTGCAGATCCCTATCGAAATCGCGGCGGTACGGTCAACCATTGCCTACGTCTCCGTCGATAGATGCATTAAGGTACTCGACACTCTATTGCGTTCTACACTCCCGCTTCGCTCTCGTTCCGTAATCTACGATGTAGTTTCGTCTTCATTTGCCAAATGGTCGGTAAATCCACCCGGCGCGACGTCGTCACTGACTACAGGAAAGACGGTTTTAGCATCACGGTATCCAACCGTTGTGGGGGCGTTACGATGAAACTTAACTGCGATGTAAACCCACTTTGGCTCCGCTGGATGCTGCTAGATGAACGTCGTTTCTCTAACACAAAGTCGCACGGGCCATTTAACTATTCTCTGGGTGGGATTATGTGATGCGCAATCGTCGACCTGATCTGTTTTTGTAGGCTCGCGAATATAGAAGATTTGTCTCAAGATGCTGAGCAAGGCATTGTATTATTCACAGTGAAAAAGTTTAAGTACTTATACGAAATATTTATACAAAAATAACGATGAATGAATTTCATGAATCGCTTTTCATTTTATTACTATATATATAATGAAAATTTGTTATATTAAAGTTTATAAATTTGACCGCTATTTTTAAAATCAGTAAATTGCAAACAAATGTGAAGGAGACTTACTTAATTAAAGTGACGTTAAATCAGATGCAAATGTAAATGGCAATCCTCTGATGAGTCGAATATTTTTCGAAAGCTAAATTTTATGAGCAAATATACATAATTCAAATGTGCATGTTTCAAGAAAATTGGAATTATTATATGTTATGCAATCAATAATCGGCATGCAGCGTTTGACTTTTTAATATATGAGGTATGAATTTGATAAAAGGAATAAATGTGATACCGTCCAAAAAGAGAAGCACGGGGTTTCCCGAGACTTTCAGACTGTCACTTTCCCAACCTGCAGAAAACAACATTCTTGAAACGAAAGACTGGTCGTGGAAATTGGATTGTCCTTCGAAAGCCCCTGGGGTGTCATGCGTAGGAACGCGGGATGATTCATTCAACACTACATCCGTGAAATGTTCTGAAACGTTCTACAACCCCGTAGAAGAGAGTAAGCTATAAATAGAAACGAAATTTCGTATGTGTTGGTAGATCTTGGCGAGAAAATTTTACGAGCCGTTTAATGCAGTCCCGCCACTTAAAACATTTAATGCTTCCTACCGAATTCATACCAGGATTGTGCATGCCTTATGCATGTCTTCTGTAACAATAAGATTTCAATAATATCATTGAACTAGATAGATTATTTCTGTAGAATTCTTATTACATTAGATAATGGATCTCTTATACGGTAGGAGCTGAAATTGTAAATTACATTTCGGCAATTACGAACATCCGCGTAGATGTATAAATGGTCTCGAACGGTATATAATTGCATTATACTAAAAAAAATGGAATAAATGTACAAATAATGAATGTAAAAAACCGTAATAAACGGATATCGTAGATTTTTGAAATGCAACTTTCATGTTAGAAAGTAGAAATCCTAGAAGCATTCCCAATTACAAATTGCTCCAACCACTTGAATTTAAAAGCAGAATAACAAAGGTAAATAAAAGTTAGCGTTTGATGGTTGTTTATGTGAACTTTTCTCATTATTTTGTTTAGTAGAACACGCTGGCGAAGTTAGATTAAACATTTTGAGAACATTCTGTGCATCAACGAATCATGAATGTATTCTCAAACACTCGAGCATCTACGAGAGAACAAAAGAACTTGCACTTTACAATAGATGCCTCTGCCATAAGTAAAATTTACAAGACGTGACACCATTCTCACACGAGGATTCGTACTTTTTTGTTCTTCAATTACAAATAAATGCTTCCGCGCGCGCCCTTTGAAGTTGCTCTTAATTCCGCTACTTCAACAACGGAAAAAAATTCTACGGTTTTTCTTGCTTCTCTCCGACGTTATAGCATTCGTCGGAGCGCTCTCGCAAAAAATACACTGGCAGCGCCCAGGATAAACTCGCGGCGTAGCGCAAATGTAAAATGACATGAACATTAAATAAAGCCCGGAATAGCGACAACGTTCTGCGCGTCCTGCAAAGCCTCTTAGATAGAAGTAAATTGTAAGTCTCTTACTCGACTGGTCAACGCCGTAAGCACTTTCGTTTGGTCGGCAAAAACAGCTTGGAGCGTAAGGAGATTAGAGTCGTTATAGCGTCAGCCGAGGACAAAAGTGGAGGAAGTTTCATGCGAAAGTCGCGACCCTCGTCTAACGTTTCACCGTCTCTCGCAAACCGTGCAAAGTGACGGAAAGCCGGCTACCGCTACAAAAGAATCACAGTCGGGATGTACTAAAGTACAAGTTGCGTAACGGTGCAGACGACGTTGAGCCTTCGCGAGAAAGGAATAATTCACGCGACGAAAATGCGAAGAAAGTCTTGCCGTGCCGCGGTATTAAGGCAAAAGAATCTCCTCTGTACGGTGGAATACAGTTCGGATTTCTTCGTATTCGAATAAAAAGCCTTTTATCAAGTGCAACTCTGATCATTGGAATTCGCGGCAATTAACATAAATTAGCTTTAGTATGCTTATTTCAAAAATTCTTGCTGAATGAATGTTAAGAACGTACAATCAGGCGTAATGTACTTACAGTGATGCGACAGACTGGTGGTCAGAATCTGCTTATTAGCGTCCGCGTATTCAGCTGAGCTGAAAATAAGAAATGACACAGTTTCAAATACTATTATCATAGTTGAGCAACTCAGCTAACTTATGCGGAGAAATATCGCTTATATTACTGATAAAATGGTTAAGTTACAATCCTTTTTTTCCTGCGCCTTTTTTCTAAGCATAAAATTCTGCATTTATTTCTGCAATTTTAACATCCGTTAAATTTTATTCTCAGCAAAAAGTGTCTATTAATTATGAGACATTTCAGCGGAGATAAATCTCAACTTACGCGGTGCTCGAAGATTAATGTAGCTGTTTCTTAGAAAGCACCGCAGGAATGCTTGACTAGATATGTATGCAAAGCGGTCCGCGTTTTATTTCAGATGTCTGTTGCTTCCACACGCTATGCAGTAATCTACATAAAGATAATTTTAATATGTAAAACTTTTCATGTTCAACGTCAGACGACGTATCATTCTAAGAAGGTGAAATAAAAATGAATGAAACACAGGTATATAAATTTTGTCGTAAAGCCACATGTAATATTACAACATTAACATACTTAACTATTCGCACCGTTGAAGATAACAATACGCAATTATAAAATTAAATATGAATACACATACAAAAATATACGCAGAACGTATCGTTAGTAATCGTACAATTTTTTATTTTTATCGGATCCGTATAAATAATTTGTCAGGCGACTCTCTCGCGAACGGGACGACGTCTCGGATAATTCATTTGTGCCGGCAGTGTATGTTTGATGTCGGAAGTGGTCCGACTCCCAGACCCACCGTCATCCTCTCGCAGCGGTTTCCGCAAGCTCCGTAGGGTCATTAGCCAACCATTCATTATGCAACTGCGAGGCAGTATTGCGTCAATATGGGGGCGGCAGATTGTTGGCCCAATCGATAACAATGCGCCGTGTTTACTGGCCGGATAATCAACAGACGCAGCTTCTGCTGCCTCGCCTCCGAAGACCAAGCAAGTGGGAATTACGGTCCGCCTCGCTCCGAATGATATTGCGTTCCGGAAGTGTTACCTTTCCTCGCGCCTCTCCGCCCGTCGGCGATCCGACGACGTCAATTTCCGCCACCTCTCTATCTCGCAAGTGCCTCTATTCAGCAGACACGGCTGCGAGGCCATCGGCGTTAAATGATACACGTGATCGAAAAGCTGTGAGGATTTGTAGCCTAATCGTGCGCGTATCGATTCGTGCGCTCGAATCATTCCGATATGATTTTCCACTCTGCAGTTTACATGGCTTAGGCAATCCGAACGCGTGCATCGGCTTTGTAACTATGTGCATACATGAGCGGAATGTAATAACTTTCTGGAAAGTTGATGTTAAAGCACATACACGTTGAGTTATGCAGAATATGGTGATTGCATAAGATATTTTGTCAACAAACCAGTGAAGCCAAAAATCGCGATGTAAGTCAATAATGATGTCAAATTGATGAAACAGTTCGTATCGGGATTGGTTGCGTTAAACCCGCGCTATATCACTTGTGCACGACAAGCTATGCATTTCGATGCGTTCATTACACGAGCGTCTGCTTCGATCGCGATTGCAGAACGGTCGAGCGCGTTTAATCGGCGAACCAAGCCCGTACTCTATGCAAGCCGGCATCTATGAAACGGTCCGAGCGGTGGAAAAGAGGCGCCGGAAGTACGGGCGTCGTGAGATGAAACGTTGCCGGGCGCGATATTCCCGCGCGGAAGGACGCCGGTTCCCTTTGATCTAAGTTGCCGGGAATGCAGGGTGAAGGGACAGCAGCGTGCGTAGCTGTCGCCCAGGAAGTTGGGAGTAATTTGCTTAGTTGGATTAGATCGTGAATTTTGTGCCGCGATGTTTGAGCCGCCGTTCGTCTCGTCGTGCCCCGCGCCATTCCATCTTTCTGTTTCCCTTCAGTCCACCACCATCGACCATCATCCCACTCTCTCGCATCCCACCACCGCCTTATAATTACCATCTTCAGAGACGAGCTTGCCAATTCGTTGCTCGACAGAAGTACGCACTTTGATCCGGCAAGAAGCGGGTATTAACTGGCAGGATAGGCCATCGAAATCCGCGACGGTGCGCAACGTTAAGCGCCATCGCTTTGGATAATGGAGACGCTCCCTGATTTCGCGTGCTTTGATCTACCGGGTACAGCTGGGTTAGAGCGATCAACAGCAGCGGGACCATATAACCGGGAATAATCTGTCATCGAACGGATGTAAACGACTTGCGCGGCGTCACGAGACATCCGCAATTGTGTGGCACAAATGCCGTCTGGCGACTCGAGATGGGTTTTTCGGGCTATAGCATTGCTGAAAGCTTTATCGTTTTACAAAAATAAGTAATTTCGTTTACTTTATTTTAACTAGATTGCAGCGCAAGTTTTGGTCTTCAAACATATTTCCTGTATTTATTAAAATTTGTACTTTTCCACCGCGCAAAAACCGTTTTTCTTTTTTTTCGCATAATCATGCGATCCTTGTCATTCGATCGATTACCGAAAGATCGGTTCCGCGGCGCGACCCAAATTCCATTAGCGTCAAATTATGCGCGGGGTTTTCGTGATTCGCGTGTAGATCACGATACCGGCAGACGCGTACGTGTATGCCCGGGTGCAGTAGGTGCACGCATGCGGAGAGTCGGATATAATCCCGTCGAAACGGCGGTGTTTCGTATGCACGCGTTTCGTATATCTGCGAACGGCGTGGCGCGCGGAATGCCTAACGGCATTGCGAATCCTATACAAGAGACTTCAGGCACGAATGGCGGATCAATGTTTTATCGATATTGCAGCAGACGCAGCACTGATGTACGTCTCGAGTCGGCGGTACGTATATTGCGCGTGCTTTCTGCCGTTTGCAAGAGGATTTATGGATTAGCGTTTGTTTATCGTCGCCCTTGCTACCATTTTCCCCATCGGCGATTCGTGCTTTTTCTACCCGAACGGTCCGCAGACGCGGCGGAAGGCATTAAAATAGGCGATCCGAGAAAAAGCGAAGGAGGTGCGCGGCTCAATACCCTGTGCATGTTATGTCGCGATTCCTCTTCACGTCTTCCATCTTTCTTGTTTTCTTCAATCGGTTGGAGAATTTTTCATACATTTACATTTACAGAAAAAGAATATAATTATTTTTAATAAAAAGTTATCGTTGGTTAAGCATATCGCTTATGCGATTAAATATTAAATAGTTAATTTTATATCTACATAAATTGAGAATCACAAAACTGCACACAATCGAGATATAACTTGAGGAAAATAAAACAATTTCGCGATCTCTCGTAAAAAGGAAAAAATTGCTCGACAAAGAATCACCAAAATTTCTGTAATTGGTAGAGAAGACATAAAAGAAACATGTTAGTAGACAAAGAAGCGATGTGCCTAGCTCATGGTTGGGTCATGCATGAACGCGCGTCTAGAATCCGCGACGTCGACAGCAGAGAAGGAGTAAAACGGAGAGAGAAGGCCAGAGAGGTTACCGCCGTCAGGAAACTTTTGTTTAAAATTGGAATTCCTTTGCGGCTCGTTGGGACTAGGAATGCAGATAGGGCGGAGGCGACGAAAACCATGAGTGGGCGAGACGAGGTCGCCGGTGGAACGGAAGAAATGCGGGTAGCTGAAAAAGGCGATGTACGATATTGTTTCATCATAAAGGGAAGCTTCTTGCTGGCGGGAGAAAGCTTTTAAGGAGCGACGCCGTCAAAACTTAAGCGCATGTTGACGCAAGCTTCCGCTGCGTAAACATTTTGATATACACACGGATTTCTCCGAGCAGAAATTTTCGCAAATTAGCGCAACACGCGCCGTAACATATCGATCGTTAACATATGCGGCGATTGTTGAGAACGGCCGACTAAACGGCACAAATGACTAGCAGTAACAGAAAACTAGTAGTAACAGTCAATAATAAAGACGACTAGCAGAAACAGACAAGTAGTAATAGGAGATTAGTAGTAACAAACACTTGTATTCAATCATTTTGTTTAAAGTACAATAATAAAATTTAATCGGTCAGTAAAATTCAATTTTGTATAAATGAATATGTCAGAATAAAATATAAAATCGATATTTAAGATTTGAAATTTGAGACAGTTTACTCTAATTCGTTGAAATTGTCATATAAATTTTTGTATCGTAATTTCAACAAGGATGAGTATATATCATTCATGACATTGATTTGCGCGGAATTTCTATATCAATAAGCAAGTAACAATTGAACAATTATGTGTTACTTGGCCGAGAGAGTACAGCAATCGTTTAATTAATTTGCAGGTATCTCACGTACGTCTGGAATCATGTTCCTGCCGTACGTGTTCCGCTACGTGGCTAAACGCATTAACCCATAATTATCGAAATTACAGACCCGAGCTGCAACCAACCGAGTAGTCTCCTCACCGCCGTCTCGCAAGATTCCCTCTCGCCTGCTATGCAGCCTATTGCGGATACTTAGGTAAGTACCCCATCTCGCTAATTATTCGAACGTAGCCGCAGCTTCCACGCGGACTTCTCCTTACCGCTAGTTCCACGAACTTAAGAAAGCAGATTGCGATGACTTGATCATTTTAAGAAATTTACTCGCAAGAATCTGCCTGTGGTAGATCGCGTAATCAAGTCACGCGCGCCTCGTCAGTTATAAGAGTCCGAGCAGCTGTTTGCGTTTGCGTGAAGCGAGTTTCTGATATGTCGAAGACGCGAGAGTAACGAATATTTTACGGAAAGTGGCATCTGGCGTAGAGAAACGCCTTTAATTTGCAGCAGCGGAACGATGTCGCGAAGGGGCGGAAGGGACGAAACGTCTCGTTGGAATTTCGCATCGAAATCGATCGTTTGGAACTATGAAATATCGCTATCGACGATGACGTATTTCATTTCGCCCGTCAGTTTTTTTTAAAGGCAAGCATCACGGTTATCGACGACCTTTCAATGAAATAACGGATTCCCCGCGAAAAAAAAGTCCGCCCCGTAGCAGCCGAGGTGTAATTGCGGATGCAGTAAATACTTATCCGGCGTAGCGGCCGCACAGACGCGGAGGCTAACGGAACGATTAGAAGCACGGTATAATTTAAAAGACGTTTTGTTCCGTTTTGCATCGTACTCTGTTTATGACAACCGGGGAGTAACGTTAATTCATTCCGACCGGCTACATTGTCTCCAAACACGGACGAGTTCTAATGCGTATTAAATTAATCTTACGAAAGACCTACGTAAAGTACGAAAACCTAACCGCCGCGGCAAACTTTTTCTATTAGGCATTATCTAGATCCCGGAACACCGCTTATTTCCGTCCAGAAAGTGTTTTATTTGTTAATGCTAGACCGTCTTATCATACTCGTTATTATTCAAGAGTCACGAAGTACCGTACACACGCGATCGTTACATACCGTAAAATGGTCTCTCGCAACCGTGCTTCCTAGCCGGACGGGTTTTTTCGAAGTTTCGATACTTTTTCGAAGCGTTGCCGTTGCCCTAAGATTCTCAGTCCTTGTGCTTGCGAGAGAATATTTCAGGTAAGAAACATTACGCGTTTATGCTATTCGACGTATTGTGTGCACAAAATAATAGAAATATATAAATGATAATTTTAAGACTGTGTAAAAACATTACACATCTGGAATTTATAAGATACTATAAAATTGCTTTAAACGTGATTAAGCCTATAATGAAAAGCGAATAGAATGCTAAGATGGAAGTAAATGAATTTTTACTATCGTTTCCTAGTTTCGCTAATTGTGTTTCCATCACCCGGACTTTTATCCTGATGAGTTCTGGATGAGGGGTGTGGCTGATTCTGTCAAGGAAATTTAGTAGCGATTCTGGCGTTCAACAATTAGGGAAAGTAGGTGCATAAAGTTTCTTCGACTCGTAACTCCGGAGTACTTTTATGCCACTGTTAACTCGCTAAGTGTCGAAAATTACTCGAAATATCTTAATTTAACGCGTTTAAATGTTACATAAAATATATAAAAAGAAATATTTATTTGCACGAAGCATATTAGATCTAATATATATGCACACGAATGAGTATAAATTTATATATCATGCAATTAAAATTTGTATAACGATATCACCACCATATGAAATTCGCGCTTAATTATTCATTATATACACGAATTGCTCGCTATTCCGCTTTGCTAATCAGTACGGAAGTAATTATAGGTGCAAACGAAATGTCGCAACATAAAAAATTGCGAATGCTCTTAAAACGCTGAGTTCTCGTTGCATTAATTACTCTTGTGAAAAATTTACGCGAATTATTAACAATATTGAAATTTGCTCGATCTCATTATATTGACGCGCGCGCGCGCGCGCGCGCGATATCAATTATAAATAATCAATTATATTAACTATTATTTAAGATCATTAAATAATATATTTATGTATTAAAAGAATTGATATAGACATTTAAAAAATTTCTACTTTCAATAAAATCAGAATTAACGTTCTTTCGCTTTTGTTCGACCCGTTAAGATTTAATGTGCATTTCGGAAAATTGATTCTTGAAATAGAGTCAACACGCGGACGAAATGTGGCGGGCAAAACACTGTAGTCGCGTAATTCGCGCGTATGCACACGGAGTTCGGCGAAAGTTTGGTTTCCCGGGCGCGCCGACACTCCGGCGTGGAACTTTATGCTAATTCGACGCGCCGACTGTACAACATTAATACGAGTCCAACTAGCCGCCACGATGGCGATTCCCACGATTGTAGATGAGCGTTATGCGGGGCGTCTCTTATGAGAATGACACGGCCAATTCGAGATACGTTAATTACGTATTCTTTGTCATTGCGGTTGTTCGAGCGATTAATAATGATAATCAATTCAATCGTTGCGTACATTATTCGTAGACTAATACTACGCGTTTCGGCAGGAGTGTTCAAACTCGAAATCGATGATAATAGCTGGCTTAGGTTTGCGTTGCGTGCATTTTACACAGGGACGCACGCAAACGTGTGTTTGTGCAGCCGCGGGGAGAAGCGCGAGCAGCGAAGCCAAGGGTTCCTCGCTACAGGCGTCACAACTCATCCTAATTACATCTACCCTCGTTTCCGGATTCTGGGGGTTTCCCGTCAGGAGAGTACACTAGCTCTTAATTAGTATTGCCAACCGGACTTGCTGGCGCGGCGCGCGCTGCAATTGAGACGTTTAACTATATTTCCGCTCCGGAGAATTATTGCGTTCTGATTTATAGCTTGCGTATGCATTGATAATGACTTTCTTCTATCGCTTGAATACCAATTTCAAGAGAATCCATATATGCATGTGTAGATCTATATATCTTAAATCTGCATTATCTTCATGTTTTGTTTAATGTGTTTGATATTTAGTCTCAAAGATCCATTGATACATACAGCTTTTACACGAATGCATTATTGCAATATATCGTTATTTATTAATGCAGTTTCCATCAATCTAGTTTTTACATGGCACAGCCGTGGCAGTAAAATTATTAATATCGCATAAAATTGGACAAATTTTCTCGTGAAATGATAAATTGATACCGTTCGAGACTCAGTCTATCTTTAAATTTCATTGTAACAAATCCGATGTGACTAACGAGCAAATAGTTGTCGGGTTGTCTGAATATATACGATGCGTCGCGCGGAGCACGGCGCGCTCCGGTTTCGCAAATCATTTATAACCTAGCATTAAAAGATCTTAACGCTCGTGTAGCGTAAAAAATGAACGACCAAGTCGGGCCCACTAGCAATTTCGTCTCCCCGGGACATTCTTTCTAATTACCAGAGATTTATTAACGTTGTCGCTGCACAATCCACTTCTTGCATCCCGTGCCACCTCCTGCGCGCTTCCCTTAAGCGAGTTCACTTTGCCCTATCCCGTGACGATCATTCCTAAAGTAATTGCTCTTGCCGTGGTCTGAGCTAAAAATCAGAAATACGTATCTTTCCTTTCTCGACAATCGTAGTCGTTTTATATTTCCTATTTTCATTATTAGCGTATCAATTTAATATAAATATTTCTTACTTACACAAGTACTTACTGCAAGTAATTATAGCGGGTTAAAAATTTGTTTCTATCAACTTGAGGTTGATATTTTTAATTATTTATAAAAACTTTATTCATGTTATAAAGTAATTTTATTAATTTTATATACTAATTTAAACGATATCGTTTATCGCGTTTGTTTAATAGTATAATTTTAAAATATGTTGCGTAAGTAGATATTTTTAATTATATTTGATCAATTAACATTAAAATTCGCTTTTTTAAAGCAATAAAAATACGATGGCTCATTAGATAGAATGGTGTGAATTGGAATGGTAAAAGCATACAGCCTTGTTAGTACGAAGGGTGCAAGTAAGTAAGCATCAAGTAGGGCTAACCGAAATACGAGGGTATTTCGGTGTAATGGGGCAAATCCTATTTGATACTTAACAACTTCCGAGCTTTCCTTGATTTTCTTTTCTGCTTTTTCTTATCAGCTCAGTGAACATGTTACAAGTTTTAAATGTATATCATGATTATTTCAAAATATTGATTACGTCATATGATATAATGGCAACGTTATTATTTATATATATTTATATACATTCAATAATATGCTAAAGATTATTGGAAATATATTTTCATTGATATAGAATGATACTGTTACGCTCTGTGATATCTACGCAAACACGATATATGAATTCTGTATTATAGCATAATTCACACATTGTATTGCATTTGATATAATTATATTTGAAATAATACGATAGAGATACAATACCGCTTGATGATAACATTCACGTTATCAAGTTACTTATTGCAATCAAAAATGCGTACATTACTTTGATTCACGTATCTGAAATGATACTTGAAATCGGATACAAGTATCTTAGCAAGCCTGTTGCGAAGAGATTATTCTGCTGAGAGTAAGATACGCGTCTTCGTACCGCCGAGTTTCAGATTTTAACTCACGGCAGCTCATTGGGGTGAGGCCGCATGACGGAGAAAAATGGGTAGCAATTTTCCTCAAGGGTAGTCCGACGAACGCGAAGTAAGAAAGTCAAATTGTTAGGTACGTTCTTAAAATCACGGATGAATCGAAATTGAAGGGCGAGACGGAAATGAGCGATGACTTCGTTAAATAATCTGAAAGGAGGAACTAATGGTTTCTTATATTTCACAGGATAATAACGTAGTTTTCACGAAAATTGAACACTCTCGTGCGATATCTCGAATAATTATTTAGCAAATAGTTCCAACAATTCAATGAATTATTAAATGTGTCTATTTGTAAGAAAATTGAGAAGGCATATTCTGATGTCTTGTTATCGAGATACAGATTTTACAGTGACAAGAATTCGGTTGATTTTACTAAAATATAAAGTATATAGCTAGGTATTCTTCAATTATTAAAAAATAACCTGTCAGTTTCACTTGCGCGATTCATTTTGCGCTACAACTTATTTTCCTTTCGTCTTTCTCTCTACTTTTCGTGTCGCATCGTCT